GAGTGTATGCGCTTGTTGTGGTGTGTAGCCGTACTGTTCCTCCCTGTGTGAGTTACTTAGTGTATAAGGAGGTGAGCTATTGTGTGGTGGTGGTGTACTGCAGGGTCTCTCTCTCTCACCCACCGCGACATGTTCTTCATATGTTGTTATGTTATGTTAGGCTACGTTATGTTATGTTATGTTATGTTATGTTAGGTTAGGTTAGGTTAGGTTAGGTTAGGTTAGGTTAGGTTAGGTTTAGTTAGGTTAGATTAGGCTAGGTTAGACTAGGTTAGGTTAGGTTAAGGGATCACTATTAATCTCGAGGTAATAACTCTCAGTGGTCTTTAACTGATAGTAAACATTACGGGAATATGTGACATGTTGAGAATTAACAGAAAGGAACAGAAATGAGAACAACAGGAGTACATGAAATAGTAGTAGTAGTAGTAGTAGTAGACAGACTAGTAATAGACGAAACAGTAGAAAAATAGTAACAGACGAAACTATTACGTATAACTGGTAGGGATAAAGATCACTCGTATAGGGATAAATATATAATAATTTCGGGTTAAATAAAGATATAGGGTTAAAGATATATACATGATTCGTAAGGAAAGAACCACATAAGAGCGGACCATCTTGTAGGCTGCGACATTTGTAAAAAGGAATCCGTATTTTTGTGATGTTGTAACGTGACCAGACCCAACACCTGACGCCACTCCAATAATGTCCTTACCTAACTTAACCTAACCTAACCCGGATCAATACGTAAGATCATAGATAAATGGGAAAGTAGCATTTTTCTCTTAATTTTGGTTTTATAGTTACAAGCATAAACAACACAAAGAATATAATCAGTGAGACAGGTGAGGTTATTTTGTTATACTTCTATTTATCACTATATTACCCCGGGCCAATGGGATAATTTACTCTTAGTTTGGGAGCCGCCGCCGTAGAGTATGGTGGCGCTGCAGTCGACGTGTTGTGTAGGGGAGTCAGGCACAAAACTCCGCGGATGTTCCAATCAACTTTTGTCTTCGTTCCTTGGTGGAGACCTTAATCTCTTCAGTATGATGACTTAAGAACACACACACACACACACACACACACACACACACACATGGGTTGTTTGTTTTTTGTTTTTTTTTTTTTGTTGTGGTGTTGTTTTTTTTTTTTTTTTGTTTGTTTTTTGTTGTTTTTGTTGTTTGTTTTTGGAGAGAGAGACAATCGCTGTAAAATCTTATTCCTCTCAGACAATATCTCACAGGAAGAACTACCACAGGCAGGAGGGAGAGTTGGTGTGTCATCGGGAAGACCAGCACGGAGACACTCAGATACGTGACCATTTCACACACACACACACACACACACACACACACACACACACACACACACACACACACACACACACACACACACACACACACACACATACTGCATAATATATGAATGTGAAAATATATGCAAGTTGTGGGTAGAAATATGAACGAGGAATATACTGGTGTGTTAGAACTGCGATACAGCGTTTATTAAGAGTTCAGTCACCTGCTTTAAAAATAGAATCACCTGACAAAGATATCTTTAGTCTAACCTAACCTAACCTAACCTAACCTAACTAACCGGGGGGGGTTTTTTCAAATATCTTGCAGATTGCCTCTATCGTATCACCTAATTATGTTTCTGAGTAGTGCAGTTATAAGTATCATTTGTGAATTAATTCCTAGATTTTTTTCAGAGTTTTTGGTATGAAATAAATCTCAGTCTAATACATCAGGTGAACAATGCTCAGTATTTTGAACGTGATGAGAACAAATCGAAGAACTCAAATCTTGTAAATGACACTAAAACTTTATTCAATAGAGACTTTTGTTTTGTCTAATAATAATGAGACGTCTCTAGAGCTCAGCACAAGCCCGTTATTATACAGTAAATCATTAATTTCCTGATTATATCTGTATTCCTCCGTGTATTAATATATCTTTATTATTTGATTCGAAAACTTTCTTACATTTACGTGAGTTCTGACATATCTTATTAGTTTGTAAGGATATTATAATTCGGGTGATCAACATTCACTTCAACACTCTAGGGAGCTTTAAATATATTAGGCAGTTTGGGCGGACGTATGAGCAATAGGGGCTGGTGTATACTGCTCCTAGTATGGGCCAGTAGTCTCGCTGAAGGGACGATGGTCAAGTGAAAGTCAAAACGACAGTGTTTACCGTCGTGAAGTAAATGATTTAACCTGCTGACCGCTAACGTTATTGTGTATGTGTATCCCAGGCCATATATACCTGATCTACCGTTACTCTGAGTTGTTGTCCTGATGGTATCAAGTATGTGGTGAGAGACTGTTGTGACCCTTCTGCTGCCATCTTGACCTTGACATTATTATTATTATTATTATTATTATTTTTATATGTATTTATATATTATTGCCACCATAATCAGAGACATAAAGATACATTATACACAAGTTGACTTGAATTTAACTACAGTAAAACCTCTATTTAACGGACTTCATGAAGATGAAATCCGTTATATCGGATCCGTTATATGGAGGTTTCACTATAGGGAAGATTAGATTACCATGTGAACTGCCTGTCTTCTGGGGAGTAAAACTAACCTCCATTAGCTTCCTTCTGACGTCCACAGTATTATTCCTTTAGTTAACACCACAGTTATAATTCCCAGCAACGTTTAATTCCAACTATAAAATTCTAACAAACATAAAAAAATGAAACTTAATTTTTATTTATTTGGTTCTATCTTTTTCTTTTTATCTACGACTTGATTACCCAACTTCTCAATCAGGTCTCACAACCACGGTGGTCACCTGGTAGAGTGTGTCACAGCCCTGGGAAAACACGTACTGTTTGGCTATGGTGGTGAGAAGGTTGTGTACGGTCACCTCACTCCTTCTTCTCTCTCATCCTCCTCCTTCCTTTCCTCCTTCATCCCGTCCTTCTTTCTCTCCCTCTCTCCATCCCTTCCCTCCTTATCTCCTTCTCTCTCCCTCTCTTCCTTCTTTCTTTCTTTCCTCCCCACTTCCCTCCTCTCCCTCCCTCCCCTACACGGACACTTCCTTGCACCTGATCTACTGTAGACAACTCTACAAATGTGGACTCGTTTGGTACAGTGTGTGTGTGTGTGTGTGTGTGTGTGTGTGTGTGTGTGTGTGTGTGTGTGTGTGTGTGTGTGTGTGTGTGTTTTACGTGTATATGTTACTGCGCGCGTGTATGTGTGTGTAATTATTACCTCTATTTAGTATATTGCCCTTAAGTCATACTAAAACTTGTTTGAGTTATTTTAGGGACAGACAGATTAACAGACAAAGCGAAAGAAAGAACAGAAAAACAATACCCGCACCTACAGTTGCGTAGGGTTAATAATAATAATAATAATAATAATAATAATAATAATAATAATAATACTAACACCACCACATTCAGTCATACATGTACCAATGTAAGTGCCTTTGTTTTCCTCAGCAGCGGAAGTGGTCAGGGCTCAAGGTATGTACACAGGATAGGAATCAGCTGTGTAGGTTACTTGTTTTGTTTAATTCTTATTTGTTTATTTATGTATATTTTATTTAGTTTCGTTATTTTATTTTCATTTATTCTTCTTGTTTGCATTTATTTAGATATATTTATTTTGTGTTTATTATTTTTTTTATTAATCAGCTTTGTTTAATTATCTACTTTTATCAGTTTCTTTTTCACGTATTTTATAATTTTTTAGTGTATTCTTTTTCCTTTTGCATTGATTTATTTATTTGTTTTAATTTAGTTTAGTCGTCTACATTAATCTATTTATCATCAGTATTTTTTTAATTTTTTTGGTTTCAACATTTTTTCATTTATCTATATTTTTATTTATTAATGTTTGTAGATGATGGAGGTGTGGCAGGGTGGGTGGAGGTGTGGCAGGGGTGGGTGGAGGTGTGGCAGAGTGAGTAGTGGAGGTGTAGCAAGGTGATGTCCGTCAGGTGAAACACTAATTGGAGGTTCTCTACCATAACCTTTAATTAATGATGGACGAGTATAATTATTAACATTGTCACACTCACAAAAGTAATAATGTCATGAGACAATTAATGTATGTTGTCTACGGCCGTCACACTCCCTCTCTACACGGTGAGCAGTACGACCTGGTAACTTCTGCCTTTACTTCAGGTATTGTTCCTTCTGGGTACTGGATGACGAGACTCTACATTATACACCATATATGTTTAATAACTATTAATAGCTGTAGTAATTTCAGTACAGGTAATTAGAAAAAAATTATAACCAAAAGTTAACATTTCTGGCCATTTTTTAATTAAGGTTTTAGTCTTGAATACAAGCTCTTCTCTTGTCTGTGGCTTCTTCGGTCAACCAATTGTAAAGTACCTGGTTTAGTGAGGGATCTGTGGTAGTTAGTACAGTTCCCACATCATTGCCTCCTCGTGTACCGAAGGCGTACTGTATCACGGCTCCTGCGTCACTTGGTCTACACTTTTGGGTAACTCGCGGGATTTACTATAATAATTTTAGTGTCAGTTGCCGTATGTGTGTACTACCATGGACGGTCCCGTGTGGGCGGTTTACCCATCTCTCTCTTCATCTTGTGTTATGTCAGTGATATTTGTTATTGTTCTTGTTGTTGTTGTTATTGTTGTTATTGTTGCTCTTGTTGTTATTGTTATTATTATTGTTGTTATTGTTGATTTGTTGTTGAGTTGGTACACTGATATGACACACCTGACATATATTACACCTGGGGAGATAAGTAACTGTCACGAACTCTTTATTATTGGTGTATGTCGTTTGGTACTGTCAACAACCAGTACCCACCTCACTGCCAGTACCGTGATAAAGGTTATCTCGCCAGTCTTCTCTACAGTGGGCTTTATGAACCAAATATAACTTGATCTTATGTTAGTGGGATCATCTTAAACCCGCGGAGGTGAGAGGCGGTCAGGGCGTGTGAGAACGCTACGTGTATTATAGTCAACTGTCTATACTCTAAGAGATAATTCGGGCAATAAAGCTACCTAACACAGAAATATCTAACCTGAACTGAACAGAAAGATCTAACCTAAACAGAAAGATCTAAACTAACCTAACCTAAAACAGAAAGATCTAACAACCTAACCTAACACAGAAAGATCTAACTTAACTTAACCTAACACAGAAATATCTAACCTAACCTAACCTAAAACAATATCTAACCTAACTGACTAACTTAGGTCCCTTCTTTATCATTAGTGCGTCCAATCATCAGGTAATATAAACGAGGGTTCCTAATCTTCATGAAACCAAATATTATTCTGAATGCTTCCTCAAGACCCATAAGGTAAGACTTTTCTTAATCCTCCTGCTGTACCTGTGTTGGTCGTATATGTGACATCTTGGTCTGCCATTGATTGTCTTCTCGTCTCCCAGGCTGTCAACACCTAACACACATTTTATTTTTACGGTCATCTGGACGAGAGCTTCAGGTCCGTATATTCATTTGTTTGTATAACACTGATGGCCACTACTACAGGAGTTTTGTTAATGCCCAGTGCACCAATACACAAGTTAGTGCTGCCATGAGAAAGAAAACGGACGCGGTAAATACAGAAAACGGAGATATTGTATTATAGTGACACATACTAAGATAGTGGTAACATATTTCACCTTAACAGAGGCACTGAGTTGGGGCTGATAGTATGAAACAAATGGATGATGACTCACAGGCGTAGTGTCCAGAATACTCTCTGAGAGTCCGGTGAACCTGGTAATTTTAGACGTAATATACAGTGTCCTTTCCAACTTGACCACAATTTCATGTTGCCAGCGACACGTCAACCCAAATTACCCTACATACATGAAACCTCTACTCACAGGTAGATGTGCATGTGTGTGTGTCGCTTTAATGGGTCTAGGGTAAGTCTTTCAACCGTGGAGACTGAAAGTTTCACTGCTGATGGTGGGAACAACGCTTTGCCTCCCCATACTTAAAGATTCCACAGCGCCTTCTAACCATTGTTGGTCAGCTGGCCTCGCCATTTCTAGATTGTTTATTTTTGTAATTTTTGTGTATTTGTTTTATTTTTTTGTATTATGGTATTTATTTATTTCATTGTATTTATATATGCCTTGTATTAATGTGTTTATTTTAATAGTTTGTAAATATTTTATGCCTCTTTCAACATTATGAGGGAGTGACACAAATTTTAAAGCTTTTATAAACGTGGTTAGCTGTAAGAAGAAAGTTAATCCATATTTTCCTCCCAGTTAAAGTATTTGGTAGAGAGTGACTGTGGTGCACTAGATACAGCACCCACGTTGAGCTGGAGCCGCATGAACAGCCGTGACAGAGCCGTAGTTGGGGACGTGTGTTGTAACCACTGTCAACACTGTCACTTCACACTCATCCTCTTCTCTTACATCAAGAATTTTAAACTCTTCCTTGATAATAGCTTCAACTACACTTAGTTCACTAGCTTCAACTGGGGCCAAATCAAGGAAGCTCGTCATTGGTCAAGTCAGGTGGATAAGAGAGAGTCGATGGTCAAGTCAAGTCAGGTGGATAAGAGGAAGGGTGGGTCATTGGTCAAGTCAAGTCAGGTGGATGGGGAGAGAGGTGGGTCATTGGTCAAGTCAAGTCAGGTGGATAAGGAGAGAGGGGTGGGTCATTGGTCAAGTCAAGTCAGGTGGATAGAGAGGTGGGTCATTGGTCAAGTCGAGTCAGGTGGATAAGGAGAGGGTGGGTCATTGGTCAGAGTCAAGGCAGGTGGATAAGGAGAAGATTGGGTCATTGGTCAAGTCAAGTCAGGTGGATAAGGAGAGGGTGGGTCATTGGTCAAGTCAAAATCAGGTGGATAAGGAGAGAGGGTGGTCATTGGTTCAAGTCAAAATCAGGTTGGATAAGGAGAGAGGGTGGGTCATTGGTCAAGTCAAAATCAGGTGGATAAGGAGAGTCGTGAGTGTTTCTAACTCTTTTCTTGAGGCATATCTTCGTTATCGGTGTGTTTCAAAGTCCACATGATAATTTGACTCCCCAGCTCGGATATCATTCTAGATCAACGTTATTACTATATTAATTGCAATTGAGAATATAAAGATTGAACAATGAACCAACGCACCTCATTCCGCCAATATCAGCTGCATTGATAACATCTACTCTAGTTCTGGTTGTAAGCTCTTATGGACGGATTATAGATATAAGAATAAGCTCCTTGTTGGTCGATTAACTCAGGACAATTTCGACTATTTTGACAACATCTTTGAGACGTAAGCTTGAGAGCAGTCATGTGAGCTGTGGCGTTAGAACACGAAGGGCGACTATCATCATATAGACTCACAGTTTCTTATGTTTTGTAACAGGTATAAGGAGAACTTGGTAATACGGTAGGGCTCAGTAGCAGTTGCAGTGGTGGATGAGATGTGTTGGCGTACACTAGTCTGAAGCAGGAGGCTCTGTGGCTGTCAATAATGACAGTACTGGTCACGCTCTCCGCCTGTTGTCCTTACAGGTTTCTCTTCC